GCCCAGGCTGGAGTGCAGTGGTGTGATCTCAGCTCACTGCAACCTCTGCCTCCCAGGTTCAAGCTATTCTCCTGCCTCAGCCTCCTAAGTAGCTGGGATTACGGGTGCCCACCACCATGCCTGGCTAATTTTTGGTATTTTTAGTAGAGATGGGGTTTTACCATGTTGGCCGGGCTAGTCTGGAACTCCTGACCTCAGGTGATCCACCTGCCTCGGCTTCCCAAAGTGCTGGGATTACAGGCGTGAGCCACCGTGCCTGGCTCCTATTTTTATTTTTTTAAAAATCAGCTAATTATTTTGATTTCTGTCTTGGTGGACTGGTTCTTGTTTCACTTCATTTCAAATGTTTCTGTTATTTTTTCTGAAGGATCTAACTGAGAGAAGGTCCATGTCTGGGTTATTCAATGAATTAAATTCCCAGATGTCATCACCTTTCTCTAGTCTACCAATGAAGCAACTGAAGTAGAGACAGAGTCAATGGCTCATACTCATGTCATTAGTGAGAGAGCAGGGATTTAGATTCGAGTCTCCCATCTCCCTGCCAAGGGCTCCTTCTGTTGCCCCAGAGGAACACACTGACGGACAGCCTGAGCTTTAAGCTGGAAGTGTAGGAAGGGGAAGGAAACATACTGCTTGTCTCATCTGTGTTTTCTGTAATTACTACACCAGTGGGTTTGAATCATCTCTGTAGCTGGTTCAAAATGCAGATTTCTGGGCCCCATGCTCGGGGATTTGGCGTCATCAGATCTGCGTGGGTGCCTGGGACTCTGTAGCTTAAATGGGTGTCCAAAGCTGATTCTGCAGCAGGTGGTCTTTTGACCACGCTCTAGGAAACACTAGACACTCCAAGGCTGGACACGCTTGGAGAGAAATGGCATCTTCTTAGGTGTATTTAATACAACCTTTCCCACAGTGGTTCACAAACTCTTATCCATCATAAAGTGAGCAGATTATCTCGCTCAGGCTGCTGCTAGCCCTTAGGGTGCCTCGTGAAAACTAGAAGGGCCCCTCCAGGTGGACACAGCCCTGAGGGAGCCCGGTTTGACTAGGTGGCACCGGTGAGGTCTGAATCCTCACCTGTCCGCTGGCTGAGAGCCTTGAGCCAGGCTCAGCCCACACAGTATGTGCGATGACCTCTACCATGGCCACCACTTGTCACTATGTCCCCTTTCCCACACATGTCTTCCCAGCATAGTCCTATTAATTTAATGAGTTGAGCATTTGAGACATCCACCTGTGGCCAGTGTAAGTCCTTTTAGACAGGGGTTGGTCCTGCTTCAGCTAACACCCGTCTCCTTCTGTTTTGTGAGCTATACCCTCTGACTTTTAAGATACCACCAGAATGAGTCCCAGAGTTTCATGGAAAGCGAGAGTTCAAAATGAATAAGCCGGAGTAGGCTGGTCCAACCTGCAGCCCACGGGCCACATGCGGCCCAGGACAGCTTTGAATGTGGCCCAACACATATTTGTAAACTTTCTGAAAACATTGAGTATTTTGTGATTTTTTTTTTTTTAGTTCATCAGCTATCATTAGTGTATTTTATGTGCGGCCCAAGACAATTCTTCTTCCAGTGTGGCCCAGAGAAGCCAAAAGATTGGATACCCCTGAGCTAGAGGCAGGGAGACCATTCAGGAAGCAAAGAAGTCATGAGCAGGCCGGGGCCCTGTGATGTCCTGGAGCGCAGGTCACCCCTGTATCCCCGCTCGGATGCTGTCTGGGGCAGGAAG